ACCTTTTCCTGTAAGAGTAAATTATGCATTTAAAGCTCATTGCCAGATAATTCATTTCCAATAGTTGTTTGAAAGTAACAAACTGAAAATTGCCTATATTGATAAACAATAAATGATTTACCTTCGTGCTTTCAGAATCGATATTCAGACATGGATTATTATTCAGACTTTTTATTAATTAAAAAAGTTTTTATGCGTGCTCTACTTATGGACAGTACAATGATTTCAAAATAATAAAAAGTGTTTTACCAAAACAGCAAACAAAATAAACCGACAACGACAAATGGTTCTCAGATAATTTCGAAAGCAAAAATGACTATACAAATGCATCATAAAAGCACACCCTTTTTATGTGAGATCCCACATACCTTTTATAAAAAATAATATTTTTAAAAACCACGTTTTTGTAATGGAGAATAATAATTAAAAAATAAAAATTTGGAAAACGAAAAATGTGGGGCACATGAAATACATAACAGTAATGTTATATTAGTGTGTGTATGTGTGCTCATGAGAATATGTGTATTCTCATGATATGTGAAACTCGAACTAGCCATCATGTGTATATGTGAATATGTGTATCTGTAATTGTATTTGAATGTGGATGTGCATGTGGAATATGTTTGTGTATATGGATATGCATGTGTATATGGATGTGTATGTGTATGAGTAAGAAAATGTGTATATGTATGCGTATATGTACTGTTATGTATTTCATGCGCCCCACGTTTTTCGTTTTTCAAATTTTTATTTTTTACTTATTCTCCACTACAAAAACGTGGTTTTTAAAAATATTACTTTCTTTTAAAAAAAATTTTTCGTACTCACTTCCAAAATCTCAATTTTTTTCACTCACTGTACACAATATTTTTCAATTGACACGTGACACTAATTTGAAATAATCGAATCGACAACAAAAGACAATCACGAAAATACTAATTTTTCTTTATTTTAATTTCATTTAAATTTTATTTTACTTTGTATGTCTTCTTTCTCTTCATTTTCATGCATTGTCATCCAATTCTGAACTATGTGCCGAATTTGAAGTCCGTAGCTAGTCGGGAAGTTAGTTTAAAATCGATTACAAAATTCCACCCGAACAGACATACACGAAGGCGAGTTAATATAAACGCGGTAAAAATGAGCTCAATGTATTTTAACATTTAGATAAAAATTTAATAAAAAAATATGTATAACTGAATAAAAATAAAATTTTGCGAAAATATAAATGATATTTGGTACAAATCTAAAATGTCATTTAAATTTTCAAAATTAGTTTATTATTTCATCTATTTCCTCTCAAATCTAAATGTAAAATAACTTTTTTTAAGTTAGGTAATAAGGAATATTTCTATTTTAAATGCATTAAAAAAATAAAAAATAAAAACATAATTAAAAAAGAAATGAAGAAAATGTGCTAAAATTTATCTCTGAGGAAAAATTATAATTTAATCATTATTAGGAAAATACACGTTGAAATTATTATAAACAAAATAAATGCTAGATAAGAAAATACAGAAATATCTATATTTAGCAATGAAGGCAAAGAAATCGATATGCGCTTTCTCCATTGGGAGCAAAGAGATGCATTACTAAATCCATAGCAAAGGCACTAAAAATTCCTCAAGAAAAGGGCAAAAGCAGTAACAAAATGTCTACGGCTTGACAATAGGTAGGAAAAATAAATAAAGCAATTTTCTGATACACAATAGCCAGACTTAGCCCCCCATGCCCTATAGTTATTTTCTCCAAAACGCAAGTGTTGGAAAAAAATAAATAAGTTTTTTTTTCTTTCCCGAACACCTATTTTTAGTGGAAATCGAATATGTCAAGAGTAGAACAAAGTTTGAAGCTTGTTTTCGATATCTTGACATAAAACATTGAAAACAACAGAGGCAGATCAATAAGTCTATACACAGTAGCAAAGACACCTAACAAGAATATTGTTTTAGATTATACTTTGGACGCATCGTAAAAATTGGCTTCAATCGTAAATACGCCAAATAAGTGTGACGACGCTGTAACAACAGGGATAAAGTAAGACACGCCTAAGCACAAAAAAAAAACTAAATAAATATACAGCCATGTCGTAAAAATGATAATTCAGTTACTGAAATGGATATAAATTGAGTTTTGATGGGGTAAAAAATTACTTGTTTACCAGGTGAAATTGATGTCCAATTTTTTTTTTAAAAAAAAATCTGGATAATGACATTATTATTTTGACAAATGAAGGAAACGATAACTAATTCAGAAAAAATATAAGTTAACAAAAAAAAAAAATATGGATAATTTTACAAATTTTTAAATTTCTGAAATTTAAATTTTTGTTTCACATTAAAGAAAATAGCATAGAAAGAATTACAACAATGTCTGAACAAAATGTATAAACATTATTACCATCCATTTGTTAACCGTAGTTTAGTTACGAAACAATTAATTTGCTATATCTTCATTTTTACCAATAACTTTTTAAATCTAAACGAGACTAACAGTTCAAGGAAACTTAATCTTGATCTATTTTTTTCTTCTTCTTCAAAAAACGCAAAGAAAAATTTAAATAATCTTATTTTCACTATGCCATTTGCATCACATTTTATTTTTTTATACAATACACCGATAGAAATATTTAATTTTTCTCATATCGTAAATAGGTATATAGAATTATTAACTACCGAAACCTCATACCATTAAAAAAAAATAATAATCACAAGAAGCAGAAGAGGTAAGATATTATTTGAATAAAAACTTCATTCCCTCCAAAATCATAAATAGGAATTAACAGTCAACATGTTTTAAGCACTCAAAGCCAAGCGCCCATTTTCAAGACTCACCAGAGATAAATGCTGATAATCGAAAGCGTGAAAGAAGACTAAATTTCTTTTCATTCTGGTCTGGCAAGTCTTTAAAATGGGCGTCTGGTTTTGAGCTCATGTCGACTGTTATTCTCTATTTATATATTTTTGAAGCGAATGAAGTTTTTAATCAAGTATTATCTCATATTTTTTACTATAAATAACTTCTAAGTCAAGCAATAACTTCTAGGGCAAGCAATACAACATTAGATTAAAAAAATAAATATGGAGTTATTGAAAATTTAGCAAATTCCTGTAATTTATTTCACGCCACTTTTTTTTTTTAACTACTCTGATAATAAGATACAGGGGGGGAAATGTTTTGACAAGACAATTTAAAAATCCATCACTAAACAAAACGCTTTTAAAACCTAAGTTTTTTCCCTCCCTCACTTACAATAGCCAGCAAACCATAAAAAATATCATTTTAAAAATAAAATTGCTTAATTATATTGTTTATATATTGTATTAATTATTTTGTATTGTACTTGCACTTATATTAATTATTTGTATTTTATACTTCCATCAAAAAGTGCTCGTAATAAATTGTTATTTTACGTACAATCATCTAGCAAAAACTGGAACTGTGAAAACATTTATAACAGCACTCAAAGAAATGTTTTTTTGAACATTTATGATATAACAGGTTAGATATTTAATATAATGAAGAGAGATTAAAAAATGTCTGCTAATCACCATTTTACGTCGGAAATGCATTTGTTTAAAAAAAATATATGGAACTATAATAAATATTTTATAATATTCTGAAAATTCTCCATTCCACGCTTGTTTTTTAAATGTTTTCTTATTTTAGAAATGAACCTTGTATTGTTTACCATATTTTAAGAAATGCTTAAAAATAAGTGCCTTACATTATGGTTATAATGTAAGGCATTTATTTGTAATGTAAGTTATTAATTACATTATAAATGCCTAACAAAAATTGCCACATATTTTTAAAAGGGGCCACTGTAAAAAATGCTATAACTAGCCAATGGTCAGTAGTAAAATTTTCTAATTTTATTTTATATTAGCGCGGAACGCCGACCGGTTTGTGTAGGGATGTTTCTTTCTCTCTCTGTGTTTCTATGTCCTTTCTCCTTTGTGTGTGATAACCCTATAAACGGGTAGTGGCTGTGTGAATGGCGTGGCAGAAGTCGAATTCCTGGCCATAGATGGCTCCACTAAAAAAACAGAAACAATCGCACCCCCACTGCCTAAAAAAACAGGCATACGACAAAAAAAAAAAAAATTAGAGCGGAACACTTGGCATTTTGTTGAATGTCTTTTTAATTCATGCTAATTCATTCATGCTTCATGCCAATTTCCTTCGCAATTAATTGCAACTGAATTGGAAATGTTACAGGTGACGATTGCTATGCACAATAATTTTATATTAACCATAAAAATAGCCTGCAATTATTTTTTTATTTTTTTAATTCTATGCATTAGATTATAGGCTTACTCGAAGTGTTCTCGATCCCTGACACTTTTTGCTTTACAAGCTAATACAAAAAATTCTTTAGTAATCTATTGCATTAGACAGGGTGCGTAGCCAGATTTTTCAATGAAAAATAAGTACCTTTTAAGCACTCAATACTCATACTTTTAATCACTTTTCGAAAAAAAAATCATAATTAGGATCTGTGCAGCAATAAAAAAAAATTCTATCGTTTAAAGTTCTTAATCTATGAACATAAAATCAATAAAATTCAAAAACATTATGAAAAACTTCACATAATCATGATAAAATAACTAGTTTCTGATAAATATTGTAGAGAAAATTGTGAAAAATCTTGCTTTTTTTATAATTTAGAACGAGAATCGGCACGGGAAAAAAAAATAATAATAATATATCTCCTTTTAAAAGATAGAAAATTAAGCACATTTTACAAACCCCGAATAAAAAAAAAAGCACTTTTAAGGGTCTTTAAAAACGTACATAATTCAAAAATAAGCACCTTTAAGGACTTATTAAAAACGCAACGCACCCTCTTAGAGGATAACTTGATATGTTGCCGTAGTCGATGCTCACACGATAACTTTACACGATGCCCAGTACTTTTACACGATAGCTTTACATTTTAACAACAGAAACATTCAAAGTCAAAAGACATATTTTCATTGTATAAAAAGTACACTTACCTTTCGACAGTATTCCAGGATTTCAAGTTTATCCTTTGTGCAAATAGCTTTTGGGTCTGAGTCAGTGACCCAACGTCGATTTTCGTCCAGATATTTGTTCAATAATTTTCCATGACCACATAATACGGCCACCATCGGTTGGAAATGATTTGGTCCCGAATCCACGCTATCGCTGGCATCCTCCTACAATAACAAAAAAAAAGTAAAAAATTGTTACATACTACTTATTGATGAAAAAGTAAATTTATAAACCATATACTTTAATAAATTAATTAAAATTTACCACTTAAGAGATTGAAACTAGTTAAATTTACCATTTTGACCACTTGATAATAGATCATTATTTATGACCATGTGTAAGGAGTTTCAAATCTATAAATACTACATAAATGATTGCAAATCCTAAAATTGTGGTTTATGCATTGTTTTGAGCAATTTAATAAAAGTCCAGATTATTTTGTACTTTTTAAAAATCACTAAAACTTTTTACTCGGGACACTCTGTAATTAAAATTACAACAAATTATCGGCATCTAATAAAATTATATACATTTATGATTTAAATTTAACAATTTAAAATTTTTATTTCATATGTTTTAAAGTCATTTTCTAAAATCTCAACTGCAGTTAAACGCACTTTCCTTTTGAGACAATTAAAGGGTATATATAAAACAAATCATATTTTCTTATGTTATATCTAGAATTTTTGGTTAATTAAAACGGGAAAAAACTAACACTAACTGCTCGAGGTAAAAACTTATGCATTTATTAGTAAAAAATAAAGCTTTAACCTATTTTTTAAAAGAAAAGCTGTTGGGAAAATTTTTAATTCAGAAACTAAATATTTAATGTGAATAAAATATTCCACGAACTTTAATCTCATTAACCGTAGAGACCAAATTATATCAAAAACGTTCAAACTGATGAAAATGTATCTTTATATATTCATGAGGAAAAAAAAGATCCTTAGCAAGATAATTCTTTGCCTGAATATTTTATAGGAGGCTTGATGCCAAATATATTTCAAGTCTCTTCATATCTATTTAACTCTTGACTTCTGATAAAAAAAAATTATAAGTCCTAGTATGAGATAAAAACTGCCAACCCTTTTTCATTCCTAAAAATCTCGGGACAAAAAAGACCACGCCCGAAAAAAAAAATCCCATTCATCTTTTAGAAGCATCAGTTATGCCATGCGCAGCTTGACAAGGGATTTGAGAGAAGGATAGAGAAAAATCTCAGACCCAAAATAATTCTATTCTTCTATAAAATAAAAATGATTCTTTTGACAGCAATATCCTTCTGAATCCCCCACAACTACCCTGGGATTCATGAAAGCAAATATATAAGTTATGCAAAATGGCGGTGGGAGGTTGGAACACCAGCTGGTACAGATCTCCAGTTAGTGATAATTCCGACATTTTAAGTGACAGTAAGCTTGGTGTGTTGCAAAAGAGCGACACTGACTTTTTTGAAAATATGGCATTTCAATATGTTTAGTCAACACGGAAGGCTAGGTACTAGTGAGTTTTATTGCTACGGCACACGAGTTGAAATGGCATAAATAAGATTTTTCGTAAACATCTGTCATGAAACAGAAAATGGAAACTGCAATCAAACGTAAAAGTGTAAAGTTTACCACCGAAAAAAATGTTAAATTAAGTTTTGGTATTGAATTTATATGAAGGTTGGTATTTCAATCAAGTTTTTTAAAACTGTCCAAAAAAAATTGAGCTTATTCACACCTAAGAATTAAACATATCATATTGAAGAATTAACTCAGTGGCAATTAAGAAAATTAGTAAGGATTTTTAAAATTCGATAATTAAAGGGTTATTTACAAATTTGGCTTTCGAAATATGAACACTTAAGAATGCAGGCTGCAAAATTATTTTTAAACGATTCAAAGTAAGAGCAAATAGATATTCCTCATGAGTTAATCCAGACATTAAATGAGTTTTATCTACAATATAGTCAAATAGCTATCACAAACATCTCAACGACCAAGAAAGCATTTGGTCTGAAAGATGTTGTTACTAAATATTAACTTCTTTATTTATTCAATAATAAATTTTTTTATAATATATTTAAGCGCAAATAAAAATATATAAAGTTTTTTTTTAACTTGAATTTTCGGTAATTATTTTGTCAGAAAAGATTTTTTTTTTAAGAAAATGCATCAAAATTGAGTACTACTACAATTCTAAAACCTTACCCGTGAATGTGTTAAAACTCTTAAAACAGAAAAAGATATTTGTTTCTTTAAATAAGCAATATAACGGACTCTCATGGCAAGTGTCGAACCGGACGCAAAGCCTAATTTTTCACCAATTAATTGAATGATATCATTCATTGTTCCTTAAAATTTCGTTTTGGATGTTCTCTGCATGATTCTCTGAAAGAAAGATTTTTTTTTTTAATTAATTAGATAAGAATAATTTTCAATTAATTTTTAAAAAACACATTTTACTTATTTCCTCAAAAAGGTTTTGCTTAAGTAAATTATGAAGACAATAAACTTCGATACTCGTTAATAAGGTCGTAAAATACTAGATCTTTCTTTGGGAATAAACATAAAACTTTAATTCATAAAACTAAAATTTAAAATACATTATTAACAATTATGTAAGAGCAATAACTAAAAAGGAATGAAACGCCGTATGTCCCATAATAGTCATTGTGGGAAAATGAACAAACCAACAACATACACGGACTAATGTCGCCAAAAAATGAGAGAAAATTCAGAACAGGAGCTTTATCCATCCTCGAAAAACTCAAATAAAGAGGATAAAACTTCTTGAGATTAATGATCAGTGCCAGCCGAGCACAAAACATGATTAAAATTTAAATATGCTTCATTATTCACGTCGTAAAAATGCGTCGCGTTGCATCATAACATACACAAAAAGGAAGAGTAATGAACGTTGGGAATGATGATCCCCACCCTATTAATCAAACGCCACTAGATCAATATTATTATATGCATGGGAATTGCTAGCCTGTAACAATTATGTCAATGAAATGAGAAGAGTTTTCGAAGACAAATCGATGAAGATATTTGGTCCAAGACAGATGAATCGTAGTTCTGGAAGAAAATAGGAAACCCCAATGGACATAATCTGTTTTGATTTCGTTAAGTGTTTAGAAATGGAAGAAACAATTCATTTGAGAATAGCTAATATTCGTGCTGTTTGAAATAAAAATTTATTCATGAGAGATAAAAGAAAACGTTTATTTACACTACAATTAAAATTATGTCAATAAAATGGGATAAGTTTTCGAGAGACTAATCGATGAAGATATTTGATCTAAGACAGATGAATCGTAGTTCCGGAAGAAAATAGGAAACCCAAATGGACATTATCTGCTTTGATTTTGTTAGTGTTAAGAAACGGATGAAGCAATTCATTTGAAAATAACTAATATTCGTGATGTTTGAAACAAATTTATTCATGAGGGGTTTAAAAAAAAGCGTTTATTTTCACCACATTTAAAATTAAAACTTCCTTATTTGCGTTTAAAAACTGCATTCCGTTGCACAATGACATAAGCAAAAAGAAAGAGTAAAAGAAGATTGGAATGGTGATTTCCACTAATTAAGATATCTGACTGGGTTTGACACAATTTTTTTTATAAAGTCTTAATTAAAATTTTAATTTTGGTAAGCAGGGGACCTAAAATTATAAACCAAAAAAATTAAAAATTTATAAATATTTTTAAAAAAATAATAAATAAGAGCAAATTTAAGTTTGAAAACTGTTTTGAACAAAAACTGTATTTTGAACAAAAATCTTAATAATCATAATATTAAATATGGACATTTGTTCACATATTAAATATGGACTACACATTTTGTTCAATATATATTGATTTTTTTTAAAGAAAAATTCGAATTATTCTAACTTAAAGCTTGATAAAAATAACTTCACACTTAGACATAAGCTTTTAGTTCAAAACCTAGCTAACATTATACGAAATCTGCATACAAAATGTTTTAAAGAATGCGATTATAAACTTTTTTTTTTTTTTGTAATGTGTGTTAGTGCTAAGTAATTTCATAAAATCAATGTTTCTCAGAGAACGCATTTAAAATCCAAGAAATATTACTGTTTTGGGACGTTAATTGCTAATTGTACGATTTTAAACTATCAATCTAATTAAAAACATAGTTTCTTTTTTTTCACCTAAGAACAGAAGAAAAAAAGCTTACACATCGGAGAATATGTTTCAAAATTTAAGATATCGATTTAGGAAAGAGTAGCAAAAATTTCAAAAACTTATTTTGGTTTGTCTTATTCTTTTAAGCTTCTTCTGTCATTTTTTGATGGAGTAGCGTCCATCTGTGTTCACATCATTTTTTTATTTTTTATTTCCCGTTCGATTTGGTGAGGATATAAAAATTCCGGGAGCGTGCATCTCAAAAACAGTTTGCAGAAACATTTCCTTTTGCTCCAGATTTGATTTATTTCCGCATTTGGGGGTGGCGGAAAAGGAAGAGCATGGACTATTTTAAGGGGAGAAAAAAAAGGAATTTCAATTTTTGGAATTTTTTTCTCTTTTTCCAAGAAAAGTCCACCTTTTCTATTTTTATTGTTTTTTTGTTCCATGCAAAGTCTGCATATCAGGAAAAAAAACGTCTTCCAGGCAAGTTTATTCCATATTCCTTAGCAATAGTTTTTGCGCAATTTCCGCCCAAAAAATATTTTTATTCGAGCCAAATTTTTCTTTTTGTGATTATTTTGTTTGAAGACTCCACATCTTCAAAATGTAATAGAATATACAAGTGATTCAAAAAATATTCTTTCCGCTGAAAACTAAACGTAGATATAAACACGGTGACATAAAAAAATGGACTGCGGCGTCACCGAAAAGAAAAGTGAGAACACGGAAAAAAAAGGAAAAAAGAAAAAAAAAACTGCAAGGAGTTTTTGGATTTTATTAGACTCCTTTTTTATGAATAATGTAGCTTAATTTATACTTTAAAAAATTTTTTAAAGGAGAAAATAATAGAGAGTATAAAGAAAGGGTATTAAATTCAGCTTTTACGGAAAATGAATGGGCGAGTTTATTTTGCTTTGTATCATTTTCAATTTCATTTTCAATTGACATTAGCATGTCTTTTATAGGTTTAATATTAAATAAATTATTTTAAAACAAAAGCATGCAAGCAAGTTCACTATGATT